TGATGGATTATTATATCAGTCCACATCGTCTCTCGTCGAAGTATTCAAGTGTTCAAGAGGAAAGCGTTTGTTAGGTGCGAAGCAAGGAGACTCTGATCAAAAATATATTTCTAATCAGTGGCACGTTTTTTTTGTTCATAGACGCTGGTGAACAGGCCATTTTTGATACCTATGCATATACATATAATCAGTACCGGCAGACATTTCCTGCATCAGCCGGCTTGCGCTGGCCAAACAGTTTACCTCTTTGATGTACGATTTTCAAACACTTGTTTATGTTGGGGGACTTCCCGGTTTGTTGCCTGACTGCCTGCTCCCTCGCTTGGCTCGTTCGCTTTTTCCCTTTCACTTGCGCAGAAGAGCGGGCCCCCTCCATCGCTTTCCTTTACGCACTTCTTGACAGCTCGAAATAGACTCTATTTGCTTTCGGACAAATTGTTACGAAAGCATTCGCTTGTCTCGTCTCGCCATCTAAACTTTAGTTTGTACCGCAAAGTGTGTCCTCTTATTTCGTCTTGCTCTCTACTGCAATATACCAGCGAGCTCTTTCAAGAGTCAAACTCCGTTGGGGCTCACAGATAGATAGCATGCACGATTGACGCTGGTGGGGCGGCAGGGTTTGCCGACAAGGCCATATGCCATGCCGTTCTTTACCCCACCTCACCGCTTCGCGACTTCTTCTTCTGTATGCGTATTTGTGGTGCGACATGCTTGATTTCGTCTTGCTTAGTTGCATCCCGCAAGCCAGTCGCTTTGCCTCAAAACCACCGTCTGTGCTGCCTATATTTAGCAAAGAGGACACACACAGACACAAAGCCCGTATCTTCTTCAACGCGTGTTCTTTCAGCGTATATATGGTTAGTTGTGATGTGTACGTCCGCGATTTTGCTTGTAAAAAGCGGAACCAGCTGAAGTTAAGTTGGCAAGGGCGAGTAACTGGGGCATGTTGAGGTTGATCCCCAACCGATACTCCACTGTCCTATGTTACCTTTAAAGAAAGTGAGGACATATCAGGATGTGACAACAAGCACGTTGAAAGGACCTGCTGCTGTTGTTTTGCAATGACATTGTAAGCCAACGGCGCGCTAAGAACCCTACCTTTTTTTCGGTTAGATGTACCCGGTTCGTAGTAAGTTGCAAGAAGGGACACGAAAGCAGAAGCCTGGGGACGGAATTAAACGGACCTTCATTATAAGATTGTCATAGCAGCTGCCAGTACGAAAACTGCCAACCACACCTCATGAAGAATTTCATTTACACTTCTTTACTAGGTGGAATGCGACGTTCCTTCTGCCTTTCGTCCTTCAGCAAATAGGGTCGGTAATATGCATTTAACATTTACTTGCTTTCTTAAATAAAAACTGCGGCGGAATGGAACGGCTGTAGGTTTGATTCTGAATTTGCTTAAAGAGCCGCATATGTGTCATGACTCGCACAGTTTATATTGTGCTTTGCTAGCGCGTTGCAACCGTCGTAACTGTTTGCTGTCGCCTGCCAGCTCGTCCGTCTGCCTCCCTGGGAGCCGATGACTCGATTAGAAGCAGTCTCAAGATCTATGCTCAGACGTGTTAAAGTTAGCACATCACCCAAACCCCCGTTCTCTTCCCGCATTTGAAAAGTGACCTTTTCGTTCGTGTTAATTATTCGTGTGTGTTCGTTTAATGGAGATTGATTGAAGGAAATGCTAGTGCTTTTATGGAAAAAGAACGGCAGCTCATCAGCAGTGGCGGCGCAACTTCAGACGTGCCTTGTACCCCAGCTCTCGGTCAAAGGGGCTCCGTTTTGGTGTCCATTTATCTACGACTTTTTAGCCCCTTAACTGTAACGATAATTTCATCGTAAAACCTTTGAATCGTCGTTTAAATGACCGAATGAGCGAATCGAAGCGGGCAGCCCCCCCCCCCCCACCCACCCACAAAAAAAACCTCTTGACGTCAGGACTTCTTGTTGCCGCTAAAGCCGAGTGCTCCCTTTTTTAGCCACAACTCTCTTAGCATCTGCCTATTCTACGCAGGCGATAGACGGACTATTGGTAGACCCAGCTTCCGAACCCAGACCAGTACATCGGATTCGAACCGTTAATGTCGATCTATCTACTCTTTTCGCTTATGCTGCAATCATTAGTGGATTAGAAGCTAAACCACGAAGGACAGGTACAAATGTATTAGAAGTAATAATTGGATGCGAAAATATCATCGAGGCATTTTTGATGTTGGTACTATTGCGTTAAATATGACCATGGGCTTTCCTTTGACTGTCAAGCGCTTCGATAATTTGGATATGAACGTTTAACAAAATTACCTTCTTTAAAGAAAAATAACTTAGTTCTATTGGAGACAACGTAATTATTATCCAGCCGATCTGATTTTTCTCGAAACGACTCAAACTATGCCTAAAAATGCACTTACTAGACATACAGATAAAGTATGATGATCCCCAGGAGTTGTACATACATTTCTAGGTAACATCAGTCAGTTCTTGAACCCCTTTTACAGTGTTCGTCCGCTAGACTAGGAGATAAACATGAATTTTACTGGCTAAATTTATGCGTAGTTCGCCTAGTTGTCACCAAAGTGTGTTAAACAATTACCAACCTGTATCAACTTTTTGAGAGTTTCGAGAATTCACCCAAATCGGCAAAACTTTAAATCATTTGCCTACGCGCGTCTATTCAAGTGTTGTTTAGAAGAGCCAGAAGAGTATTTTAAATGCAGACGCTGCCTGGTGTTTGGTATTCTTCTGCATTTAGACGATACTCTATGTCTAGCTCTGTGAAGAAATACCAAATAAGTAAGTACGGCTAGTTCACCGTATTTTATTTTCTGGATATATGGCTGACTATGAACCTAACATTAAATCCTTTCATTAGAATTACGACAAGGAATTGTGAAGTAAACGAAAAAAAAAAACAGAATATAAACATAAAAAACAGAAATAAGAACACTGTTTTCTGCCAATTAGTAGAGTATTAAAATTGCACTCTAAGGGTATGTAGTATTCGTCATGGTAAAAATATGCGGTCAATATCGTTGAACCGATCAACCAACAAACGATCAATTTGTCTATAAGCTGTGAATAACAAAAAAAAAAATCGATAAAATGCGGCTGCTCATAGTTTATCATTTTATCAGTAACTGTAACAATTATTTTGTTACAGCAATCATTTTGTGAGAGAAAGAATACTACTTACGTATAAACATACTATATTTGACAAGATACATATTATATATGAGTTTTTTTTACTTTTTGCTTAAAAATAATAACGTATGCGAGATGATCAAACCTATATTCTCCCTGCTGCAGCTACTACGTGCTAACGTCGGTGGGGCCAACAAGGCTCGTCTGCATAGATATGCCCACCTTGCTTGCATTCTTGGAGTACGTATTGAATACTGGGGTGTGATAAGCGCGACGTTGATGGAAGTGCCGGATTTACGACCGGTTACAACAGTATCTCAAAACCGGGTGTAAATTTGCATTTTACGAGAGAGTTCCCTCTTGCCTTCTCCTTTGTGGGTGACAGGGTGAGAATCAAATGTTCGATCCGAACGAGTTCGCAGTCATCGTGATCGTAAAAAGAACGGCGAATGAATATGTCGTATAGAAATTCAAGCATGCGCATATAGTAACCAATTTCCGGATTCTGAAACAACTGAGCGACTATGTGTCAAGCGTTGCTATAATAAGTTCTGTTTTTTTTTTAAATCTAAATTTTACTAGGTTGGCCTATGTTTGCTGCAAGTACACACTTGCCATGCCTGTTAGTCTAGGTTCATAAGGACACGAGGAGGAGAGTTTTGGACATGACAGTGGCGTTTCAGACAGGACAAACTGGTGACTACTGGCCAGTGACCAGTGTATTAAAATGCCTCGCGTTTCGGTTGTTGCAAACAGAACAATAAAACGCGCCGATGAGAGTCGAAAACACTAAGGTAGACGAACATCACTCGACTCGTACAGACCGACAGATAAAGCAGCCGACCGACGCTTTCACAGATACATTGCTTAGACGCTGTTCGGACACCAAAGTCCTAGTGACAAACGCTTAGTCCAGAGACAGGACGATGTCCAGCCGAGATGTCGTTCAGAACACAAGAGATGTGTCCTCCAAAAGTGTTCATGGCTGCTGCTACCGCTGCCTCGGGACTCACTAGAGGCGCAGGTCATTTATTGCGAGACAGACTGTGGTTTATTGGGCGGAAAACGGCTGGCGGCAGAGTGCGCTGTCGATTGAATCAGGACAAAACCTGGGGAGAAGGAACATCGGAGGAACGGGTAACATAGCGGCAACAAGCGGACAGACGAACGGCCGACAGGAGAGCAAAGCGGCGGCCGCGAGAACACCGAGCTCCGAAACGGCCTAAGCCTCCCGAGCCAACTAAGCATCGAGTCAGACACTCGCTCTTCCTGGCCTGACTTCACTTGAGTAACGTTCATCCGCCTATGTCGCACTTTATTAGCCAAAGGCAGCAGCAGTAGCGCTGGCGGTACGGGAGTTTCCCACCCATGCCTTCCTTCTGGTATTGGCTTGCCGCTTGTATAAGGCTTTTCCCTTTGTCTATGAACACGTTAAGGCCATTAGGCCAGCAGGGAACGCAAAGCAGCTAACGTATAGGGCTAAGCAGACAAGCCGGAAACCAGGTACACTAGCTACACTGATACCCTTTAAATCAAAGCAAACGCATTTTCTGCCAAATCTCGTTTAAACTGTGACTCCGCCTGGGTAAACATATGAGAAAAATTCTTACGAAAGTGTATGTGAAGAGGATCGGGCAAAATGAGAGAAGTTAAGGGACATGGCTAAAAATAAGACGCGTCTCCTGCAGGTAAATTCCACATAGAATAGGTAAACTGAGCAGTTGTTCCTGGACAGGTCTCTCATGACGTGGCCGTTGGCCTCCATTTATGGTTCGCTACAGGCCACGCTAGCCTCTAATAGATATCGCGAATGGTGTTTGTACGCGTCAGTTGCGCCATTGGGCACTCCATCAGTCGGGCCTGTGCACTGCGAGAAGCTTGGAATCTTGAAGCGAGAAAACGTACATAGAGAAATGGAATATTAGAATTTAGTAGAATCGGATGTGCTATAAGACGAATGCAAAAACGGTCACTAAAGGAAAGTTGTTTGGGATGTGTGGAACGATGAACAATCATGCGACTGGAGGAGGGATCCCACCCGACTCGTTAATCTCGTATTTGTCCCTGAATCACCACCCCATCATTCATATCAACGGAAGAAACCTCATTAAGAGTACTCGTCATACAACGTGGATAACAGGGAAGAAACGAGCATCACGGACCCAGAGACCTTCACGATTATGTAAATGCTCCTAACCCCGTCGGCCCTCGCCGTCCCGAAAGCAACCCTCCGCTTGTTCCACCAAGTTCTAGTGTCTCCTACGCGCTCGCACACATTTTAGAAGAGGCTTCTCCCAACTTAGATCCCCATTTTACTCGCATCCGTGGCTCCAGTGGAACGACGTGATCCTGAATAACGCCACTGACCTGTGTTATCCTGCTACATTGCCCTGGTCCGACCTCGCTCCGGGAGGTGACAGAAAAGTACACAATCCGTTAAACGACACCAAAGCCAGCCGTTGTATGTAAGGAACTTAAATGAGAGGCTTGCACTCTTTTATGAAGAATTTAAGAAACTGAATATGAGGAGGTTTAGGTCGACTTCAGCGATGAGGCGATGTTAGCTAATGTCGTTAACGTATAGTGGTGGATGAATGAGTTTGGTTACAGCCATGGAATTCGTACTGTCGTGGGAATTTAGCGAAGAACACCGATACGCTGCAGCCGTGTAATGAATAATTAAAACCGCAGAATGCAATCACAAGTCACCATTAATGATTGGACCTAGGTCTATAAGTTTTTCTGAGAGGGAGAGAGCTAAATTGGTTGCCTTAAGTACGTCTTCGGAGGATGCACATTTCTGTGAGAGCGATGGCATAGCGAGGACGGGCCGTCTACTTGCAGACCACCATTGTTGGGCTATCACTGGGTTTCCTTAGAAATTGAGCTGAAGGTATACCCCTATAATACTAATATATAGGCAGGATTGCGACTTCCAGCGCGGAGGTATGGTTAACTTGTTCAGCGCCATGCGAGTCGAAAAACCAACAAAGTGAATAGCACATATAATCCGTGTCTTGGGGGCGGAACTTGAATCAGGGCAAAGCGAGAAATGTTGCGAATGTGACATGGTCGGATGACGCGCACTTGTGTGAACGCCAGGCTTGTGGCCTTCAGCTTTGTCCTTCGAAGAAATGCACTCAGGTGTGAAATCGAACCCACCATAGAACAGTATCTGACATCATTGAATTGGGCAAGGTCACGTTTTACCTCGATTCAAAGGACGCACTATTCTGACGATCGAATATACTTGACTAGACACTTAAGACAAAGTGGAGAAAGGCTCCGTTAGATAGACAAGTCCTGCGAGAGAGGTAAGTAGTAGGTAAGAGAGATCCTGTTCCGGCGTAAGAATAGCTTTATTAATTATGACGGGAAGAAATAGAAGCACATCAGTTAGAGGGATCGTCAGTGAAGTTGCATAATTTTGCGCAGGAATTCTCTTGCGCTGTGGCATCTAAGCATAAGTCATTATGGTTGCTAAAGTGTCGGTTCATAGTTCAGATATTCTTATCGATTGAACATAATCTAAAACAATGCCAAGTTATATATAGTTTATTATTATTATTACTTCTTTATTTATTCTGAGAATGAATATATATTAACTATATTATATTACTAGTAGCATTACTAATTATTACAATTTGAAGCGTTCTGGCCAACGATGTATTGTAACGTGGTCAGTTCAAAGGCCATACATTTTCTTGAAAAGACTGCTGACTGTGACTCGAGGACTATTTAAAAGAATATCTTTCCTTAGATAGTGTGGTAACGGCCCTACTACAAACAGCAGACGACTCAAGTGCAAATAATGAACATACACAGTCTGGTGAATGATATGGTCCACTTTATGCATATGATCATCACAGCGTTAGCGATGGTGAAATTTCGTCCTAAGGGCTTGTCCATTTTCTGCTTGTAAGGCAATCAATTCAATATAACATTCTACTCAGAATCTTACTGGTGGCACCATGTCGAACGAATAATGGTAACAATACTATAGGCTTTTGACGTTTCAAATAGGCCAATATCGTATCCTGATAACTTGATTCCGTGTGACTAATACTGTTCTAAAACCTGCCGTTTAAAGCGTTTTAAACGTGCACAGAAATCTCTCGTTTGAATCGGTGATAGAGATTCATTTACCATGACATAATGCTCTGTTTGTGTATTGTATTTTTGTTTGTTCTATTAACAGAATATTGTATTCACTTGCGTCGTTATTGCTTACCGTCGATCACCGGTTACGGATGAGCTAACGTAGTAAACGAAAGTCAGAACACACAAGTAAAAAAAAAGAACACGAACGTAACTATATTAGGGTTCTCATTTTACTCATAGCAATATTAGAGCTACGACCCGAAAGCAATTGTTCGGACAATGAACATTCGTGAATGTACTGTGTGTATAAAATAGAAAACGAACGTTCGTTCTTATCGGTGTTTTGTATTTGTTTTTCTTTTTTAAGTAATTTAGTAAGTAAAAAAATAAACTTACTAGCAGCGATTGCAGCTATCTTTCGAATTGTATTAGCACTTCGAGTCCATTTATTCGATAAAGATGTGAATTTTTATCTACTGCGTCAATTAATAATATGCTTGCTGAAACTGCATTAAAATTGAGATGTACTGATGCGAAGCTGAAGTTGAACTTTCTAATGATCAACGAAATCCTGGACTCG